TGCACTTCTCAATTCCTTCAGCTTTTGCCCAGTCCCCCAAACCTCCTCCCCTCGGGCAACCATCACTCTGTCCTCTGTGTCTATGAGTTTGTTTCTGTTTATTTGTCATTTATATTGGGAAAAACAAATTTAACCTCTCTGTACCTGAATTTCCTTCTGTGTTGTAAGAAAATATCATTACTTGTCATGTTACTTCATCACAGAATTTTCAAAAGGGCTCATCAGCTAATGTTTTAAAGTACTATGATTTCTTGATGAAGGGCACAAGAGAAGTACTAATTATTATCAACAGTACCTTTTAAGCTACTATCATCTGATTATTATTGCACCTGGAAACAGAAAGAGAACTCTGATTTCATACCACTCTATGCTGTTCAAACATATAATGCTATGGACTCTCACCCTAGAGTTGCCTTTCAAATGATTAATGAAAAACTGTGAGTTTGATGCTAATATTACCTTTTCATGTCTCCGGAAGATTAAATAGAAGGAATAAAAAAAACAGATTTTATCATTTTATGTAAACAGGTTGAATATTTTTTCCATTTTGCTTTGATGATTATTCAGCCCTAAAGCCTAAAAGTGAAGCATTTTCAAGAAATAAAATAGGCATGTGAGCTATGATGAAAACCACTGAATAAAGTTGATATGATTTCTTTATTTTTATTTGTTCACCTTTAGGAGAAACTTGATGAAGAGTCAATTTCTTAGACAAGAGACTTTGGAATTAGATATATGTTAAAACATGATTTAAAAAACACAATGGGTACTTGACACTAATTTCATTATTTCTTAGGAATACTAGTATACATTTTCTTTTGTATCCTCCCACCACCAATTGATTATCAGCCAATCTTCCACCTTTAACAATTAATTCATTTGATAAATAATTCTCTAGCACCCATTGATATATACAAAGGGCTGTTAGAAAGGTGGAATGTTTGCACATATAACAATAAAAAAAGCACATGAAAAGTGCCCTCAGCAGGTTAACTAGAGCATTCTGAATTTTGAAGGAAAAAGAAAGTACTTTTAGCGGAGTTGATAAGGGAAGACTTGTTTAATTGTAGAAGTGATATTTGAGCTGAGTCAGGAAGACAGCTGTAATGAAACAAAGAAAGAGCTTTCTAGATAGCCCCAAACACAAACCCCATGCACAGACACACCATTGTGAGCAACTCAGATCACATGAAAGGTTGTAAATAGTTCAGATATGGCATTAAGTCATGGAAGGGCAAAGATAAGGCTAACAAGTCTACATTCAAGGGAAAATCCAGTGAAGGATTTTGAGAGGGGTAGAGTTAGATTTTATTAATTCAGTCAATAAATATTTTTGTGCCCTTGTTTTTCTAAGCTGCATGGATAGAGCAGTAAATGAAAAAAGATGCAGAAAAAAAAATCTCTGCCCTTATTCTGGTGTTGGGGGTGGCAGACAACAAACAAAATAAATAAGTAAGTAATACAGAGTATTTAAGAGTTAAATGATACATAAGCAATTACAAATATAGCAGAGAAGCAATTATAAATAAGTTGATTAGTGTTTGATCAAGGGTTTGCCGTAGGTAAGGGGGCAAGCCATGTAGGTATTTAGAACAGAATTCCAGACAGAGGGAATACTAATACAAAGGCAGTCAAGATCAGTAAAGCAGCTTTTATGAGTGAGGGCGAGGACAGAAGGAGAAGATGTCAGAGAGGTAAGAGGGATCACATCATCTAGAACCTTGTACAGTTATGAGGACCCTTGGGAATATTAATCTACAAGCACTGGGCAGAATGGATTGAAAAAGGGAAAAAAATTATAAGTAAATGCAAGAATAAGAGATTTTCCAGATGAAAAGGTCTGAAACAATTCATTTTGATCACTCATTCATTCACATTAATTCAGCACATGTTTAGGAGACACTATGCCAGGTATTAATACTAGAACTGTGACAGGGATGAACAAACCTTCCCACATGAAGCTGACCCTTTAGTAAGAATGATGATAGTATAAATAGAAACATCCCACATGTTGACAAGCCTCTAAAATTTATAGAAATATAAATTTTACTATGAACCCCCAATATCTCTAATATTGTAGAAGAGAAAGATCCGAAAGTTCCAATAATATAAACAGTCTTTAGTCCAGTTTCTGTCATTTCCTTAGCACTGGTCTTCAATAAATTATTTCTCTATATTCTTTCACCCGTCAGATATTGGATATTTACATCAAAATACATTATGCAAAACAGCCAAGCCATAAACTAAATATCTAGGCACCAATCAGGTAAGTCACAGAATATAGACTATACGTGTATTTAATTCAAATACAAACATTTACGAATAGATTAATTTAGGAAGCAAAAAATAAAGACCAGTCCAAAATTACCAAGTTTGTCTGTAACCCATACAATAGCATTTTCCAAACAAACTGCTGATGCATGAAGATATTATCACTGGTGGCTGGATGACTGGCTTCAGTGCCCCTGTAATGATAAACTCACTGTCAGAGAGGACAGATAGGAGCTAGTCTCTGCTGTCAAACTGTCACGGAGTTATTAAATATGGAGGGAAAATGACCCAAACAGTATGTAATGAGCTCCCTTTTCATTCTCTCTCTACAAAAGCACATCTGTGGATTGTTAATGACTCTGAAATGGATGAACCAAATTGATGAGAAAGAAAAACAGCTCTCAGGGAGGGAAAATGAGCACATGTAATGTTTATAAAATACAATTTAAAATATAAGGGTTAGTGAAAGTACTGTGACATACTATAAAGTGGCATGTAAATAGAAGCTGTTATTGTTCATTTTTTATTACTTTCCTTTATGTTTTAATATAAATTGTTAAATCTTTCGAAATATAGAAAAATACCAGGACATATTCACAGAGTCCACGTGTGGGACTTGGAGATGGCACTGTCACTCTATCTAGTAATTTCTGTTACTCTGGATAATGGTTTTACAAGACATGGCCTGTCAGCTGTGTGCAGAAACTTAAATGTGTGTCATGCCCTCAGTATCTCAGCTCACTGGGATTCTGTACCAAGTCCTGTTGACCTTTCATGTCCAGATTTCTTGTCTCGCAAAGATCCACTTGCCCTGGGATGCCCAGGAAAGCCACAACTTAGTTCAAAGATGTGACTCAATCACGGAATTCTTCAAGCACATGCATTGGTGTTATTGATCTTTGTACCTCTGTGCCTGATATGGAATAACACTTCAATAATCCTGAACTAAGCTGAATGAGTTCTTTATAGAGATGTCAACAAGAGCAAGTACATTAAACAAAATTATCAGTGTCAATCCATACACTAGAACCGCCATTTTATTTGGTCGTAGTGATTCAGAGGTTATCTGCCTTCAGAAATCTCAGAGCTAAAGAATTTTTGGAATGTGTTTTAACATATAAAAAAGTAGTGAATCAACAGGAGTCCAGGCCTTATTCCTTGGTTAAAGGACAGAGACAAGTCTAAAACTAATCAATAATTGCTCTCAGGGTGGTATCTGTTAGCTATATCACAAAGGTAGTATGGTGATAAAAAGAAAAAATGACCAATATTTATAGACACTGGGCCACCTAACCCTAGAAATGAAATCATCTTTCATACTCAGGCTCTCTGAGTCACAGAGAGAACTTTTCTTAACACCACAGTACACGAGGGACCTTACTGAACATAAATATATATTCTGAGTAGGAGTGAGGGGCCATTTGGCACATGATTGACTCTTCCACACAAGGTAAAAACACTAACAAAGAAAGAAAAGTGAGAAGTCACTCAAGGGAAAATTAAACAGTATATAGTTGATATATTTTTACCAGCAACCCACTATAAGAAATATAGAATGCAGTGTTATAAGATTTATGAAGAAAAATACCATTTTAGTATATTACTGTTTACCAAAAATCCTCACAATTAAACATATTTTCAAGTCATCTTTGTAACGGAACGCTCTCTACTTGCACATATTCATGGAACATCTATTCTTACACAAGCTCCTGTATAAGACCAGGTGGCTTATAGATTGTTATGACTTTTCAGTCACGTTCCCTTCAGTGCTAAGACAAAAACAAAATCCAGATTTACTTTTTTTAAAATCCATTTTTTTTTCCTTTTTGTTGAATTTATTGAGGTGACACTGGCTAATAAAGTTATACAGGTTTCAGGTGTGCAATTCTACAACATGTCATCTGTACACTGTGTGGTGTGTGCACTTTTACATAAAATGTATTCCCAAATTCAGGCAGTATCATAGGAAGCAGGTACATTGGATAAAAAATCAATCAGTGTCTCAATTTCAGATCAATGTTCACCTTAACTATGCAATGAAACCCTCTACTTCTAGCCCCCAGGCCCTGAAGATTACGTGCTTTTTTTTTTAAAGTGTGTTTTTAACCAATTTCCTTCTTGTGTTCTTATTCCACACCACCCTACCCAGGTGGCTAAATAACAAACAACTAGGTCAAGCAAATGCAATACTTCTCTCTATTCAAATATAATGGAAATTTTGACCATTCCACATTCAAAGAGCAAGTACATCCTCACACCGACAACCACATTCCGCTGGCTTTTCCCGAAAGCAAAGTGTGACGGATGCCTTGGCCGTAATTGCCAATCAGCTTTTACATGGCAGCTGAAAACACAATGCCTCACTTTGATCTCCTTGCTCTAAACACATCCACAGTCAAGAAACCTGAACAAGGAATAAGAAATTGGCATCATTTCTAGAAGCTGTCACTCCATGGCACTTAAACACTATAATATATTTTTGTTCATATTTTTATTTCCTTGTTTCAAAGACCTTTTGTCAAAGATCTGAACAACAAACACCTACAGTTAAGCAGCATACATACAGATATTTGGAGGCCATCGTTCATTACCAGTACAAAACCTTAATATAAGCAATTTAATTAAGTACCACCACTATCATTTCCTTATCTAGTTACACACGTGAGAAATAAAACAAGGTAAGAATGCTCCCCATATTTTGAAACAGTGTTCAAAAGAGTTGTACTCACATTTTGCAGGCAGGTCATAGCCACACGTGATTTTTGCATGTCCAGTGTCACAGCCATTCAAGTTGCGACATTCAGCTAGCAAACAGGGGCCAGCTGCTCTGTGAATACAGCCATCCACTGGGGAGAGAGAAAAAAGTTAGCTCATTGTTGGCTTTTTGGAAATAAGTGCAAAACATGACATAGGGAGAGAAAAAGAACTTAGCTTATTCCTATTGGAAATAACCATAGCTCATGAAAGAAAACCCATGGTGTCCAATCTCTCAAATACTATTCTCCCCTTTGCTTCTCTCTTTCTCTCTCTCTCTCTCTCTCTCTCTCTCTCTCTCTCGCTCTCTCTCTCTGTGTGTGTGTGTGTGTGATGAGCAGAAGTATAAGAATTTTAGAAGTAGTGTGAGACTAAACGTTATAAAATAGATCCTGCGGGATGAGAAAATCCCTCATTGGAAGTATTCTGCAATTTCAATTGTGTAATTATTCCCTTCATGTACATTTCAAACTATCAACTCCGTATCACTGAGCACAAGGGTGGGAAGAAATGCTATCAATTTTATCTCTGAGCTGATAAATGTTGCTTCCAAAACACCATAGGCTGCAGACAAAACAAGGTCCAGAAGAAAGCAAGAAAAGCACTCTAGAACATTTGTATGCACCTCAAAACTGAAACGGTAGAATTAAAACTAATCAAAGTAAGGAGCAGATTTCTGAGTTCCTCCTCCTTCTCCCAGCAGTATGACACAGGTACGATTATGTCTCTGCAGGGTGTCTAACAGGGCACTAGAAGACAGGCAACGGCAGGTCAGGTCTTTATTAACACCAATAAAACCACCCTAACCTGACAGTGAGAGAAACAGTACTGTGCTTTAGCTTTGCTAAATGCTCCAGCTTTCTGCCCCTCTTTGGCATTCTGGCTTCCCATCCTGGTCCCCTTCACATCTGCCTTTCACAGTGATAATCACCTTTTTCTTAATGTTTTTTATTTTTTATTTTTGATCATCACCCAAGGACATTTTTGCATTTATCTTTAGATAGTGCGGGAGGAAAAGAGGGAGGTTGGAGGGAGGAGAGAGAGAGAGAGAGAGAGAGAGAGATGTGAGAGAGACATATCAACTTGTTGCCACCCACACGACCGGGGCTGGGGACAAACTGCAACCGAGGTACATGCCCTTAGCGGAAACCGAACCCGGGACTCTTTGGTCTGCAGGCCGACGCTCTAACCGCTGAGCCAAACTGGCCAGGGCTGAGAATCACCTTTTGAAAACACAAATAAGATGCTACTGGAAGTGAAAACTTTGTATGACTGGAATGGGGGCGAATGCACCAGTGCAGAGCTATAAGTCCACAGGCACACAGACCAGGACATTGAGAACTTGAATTCTTAGTGTTATTGAATGGGCCCTTTCAGCAGAAAGAAACACAAGATTGTAAAGATATGAGTAAGGAGGCAAAAAGACAGAGTCATAGAAATCCAGGATGTGAAAACAGACCAGGATATTAGTGGTCTGAAGATCTCTCCCCTCTTTCCACAGTTAATGGCACCATGTAATTGATCATTGCTTATTATTATTATTATTATTATTATTATTATGACTATTATTTGGAGAGAAAGCTGAATATTTGGCAGGAGATAATCATTGAGGGACCTATAGCTTTTCCAAAGTCTGATTTGCTTCTGCTACCATTGACTGGCATGAAGATATCACTTTTGGCTGAATAAGTCTCTAGGAAAACAAGCTCATCTGGGCTTTAATACACCAATACTTGCATATCTGTAAAGTTTGAGAATGAACTTGGGCCTCAAAGGTCCTCACAATAAAATGAAATGACTCCAGACTGCTCTAAACTAGTGTTTCAGAAAACCTATGCTAAAATCTAGACTTTCTTTACCACATATATGATGCTCAAGCCGAGTTTGCTTAGAAATCAGCATCCATAATGGCACTACTCCCCATGGCCATGCAGGGCATTTGAATAACACAGTGCAGGAGAGACACCAGCACAGTGTGTAGCACAGTGTATGTGCTCCATTCGTGGTAGTTGTTATCCTAAACTCCTTAAGTGGATATATTGTGTAAATTTTAGAATAACTCCTTTCCTTATTTAAAAATGAGGAATATAAAGAAGCAAGTAGAATATGAAAACCCACCATTTACTTGACCAACCAGACAACTCAGCATTCTGCTGCTCAAGCTTTCATTTTTTATGAATATACATACTCACACATATAACTTTTCCTTACCAAAAATGTTTAATAAGTTTTTTCAAACTCTTTCAGTAGCAATTTTACTTTTTAAAATATATTCTATGAAATAATACAAGTTCAAATGATGTAAAAGATAGGCTGAAGTTGTTCATAATAGTAAAAACTAGGAACTATTCAGATTGAGAGCTGGTTAAATAAATCAAAGTTTATCAACGCAATGAATGATTATACAGCTGTTTAAAATAATAGGCAATAGGAAGAGATAAACTGAAAAATTGATATACATATATGCTTAATCAGTGGACACAGATAATAATTTGAGGAAAGAGGAGGTGGGTGGGATGGGTAGAAGGGAGTCAGTGGGGGAAAAGAAGGGAGTCATTTGTAATATTTTCAGTAATAAAGATATAAAATCAATAAATAAAATAACAGGCCAACTTCATATGTAAATATTTATAAACATTAAAACGTTTCTAAATGAAATGCCATTTGAAAGCATATATATAGTATAGTCACAATTTTTTTACGTAGTTATGCACATATATACACACACATATATATTTACATACATATACATATAGAGGTATTGGAAAAATGCGTGCCAAAATGTCAAAAGTGGTTATGGGATGAAAAATAGAGGGTGAGACTATTAGGAAGAAATTAGGCCCTAATTTCTCATTGCTTGAACTTTTTTACAAGAACTTCAAGTATTTTAAAGTGAACATATTTTCTTGGCAAAGAAATAATGAGTTACTTAGTTTGAAATGGATAAGTAAAATAGGATTTGCTAGTATACTTAATCATATGCTGTCAAATATTGTCTACATTATTTAGATTGCAGCCTAATGCAGTTTGTAGATATCTGATTCTCAACATCTTCATGGTTATAACAGCATTCCTTTCTGCTGAAAGTCTAGCTGAAGAGCTATTTAATAATAATGACTACAGCTTAAACGTATTGAGTGCATCTATGTGCCAGGCACTATAATTAGGACAACCTTATAAGGTAGATACTAACTTTATTATCTCCATTTTATAGGAGCTTAGAAGAGGTTAGTAACTTGCCTACATTCACAAAATATTAGCAATGTGATTCAAAATCTCAGGTTTGTCTGATGTAGCAACCATGCTCTTAACCATTATAATTCATTACCTGTAGGAATTGAATCCAGGCAGTCTTACCTCAATTCCTGCATATGGCACATGGAACCACTATGTTACATTAATTTTTTTATTCTCATCAATTCTATTCATGAGTTATAACTTATATACAGTCATAGGTACAGATTTTGCAGTTTTGATGAGTTTAAAAAATGTATATACTCAAATAATCATGATGTCAATAAAAATACAAAAAAGCTCTAGCCACATAGGTCAGTTGGTTGTAGCATCCTCCAATACACCAAAAGGTTTCAGGTTTGACTCCTGTTCAGGGCACATGCCTAGGTTCTGGGTTTGACCCTTACATGGGGTGCACATAGGAGGCAGCTGAACAATGTTTCTTTTTCACATGAATGTTTCTTGCTCTCTCTCCCTTCCTCTTAAAAAAAAAATCAGTATAAACATATCCTCTAATCAAGATTACAAAACAAAAACATACAAAATGTTTCCATCAACCCAAAGTTCTCTTGTGCCTTTTCTATCTAATTTCCCTTCTTAGCACCCAGAGGAGCCCTGAGTTCTGATTTCAATCACCATACCTAAATTTGCCTGTTATATAACTTCAAACGTTATATAATAGATAGGGAAGAAGAAACTTGCTTCTTTCACTCAGCTGTGTTTTGAGATTCATGTGTTGTTGCATGTATTAGTACTTCATTCCTTTTTATTCCTGAGTAGTATTCCATTGTTGAATATACTATGATTTCTTTCTTCTTCTTTTTTTTTTTATCCTCACCCAAGGACATATTTTCGGTTTTTGTTCAGATAGAGTGGGAGGGAGAGAGAGGAAGAGAGAGAGAAAAACATCGACGTGAAAGGGACACATCGAGTGGTTGCCACCCACACGACCCAACCAGAGGCGGGGACAAACTGCAACCGAGGTACATGCCCTTAGCAGGAGCTAAACCTGGGTCTCTCTGGACTGCAAACTGATACTCTAACCACTGAGCCAAACTGGCCAGGGTGAATATACTGTGATTTCTTTATCCAATCATCCATGAATGGACATTGGAGTATTTATAATTTTTATCTAATATGAATAAATGTTCATATTTTGACAAGTCATTTTGGGGGTATTTTTTAAGCCCAACAAACAAATATTAATGAGTAAAGTTGCTGAGTCAATATATGTTTTACTTTATAAAGAACAGTTTTCAGGAAAAAAAAAAATGGTAGTGGAGTGAATGGAAACTACACAGATCGTCTCCCAGGACTAAACTGTAATTACAACTAAAATAAAGACAAATTATTGGTAAATATCAACTGAAAAGTAGCTGGAGAGGAAATTTTTAACCAGGGACAGAAAGAAGACACCAAATTGAGCCTGGTATAAACTGAGGAGGTGTGAGGGGGAGGGCTGGGTGCCCATGGACAGAAGCTGAGGGCTATTTTAGCTGTGAGCAGTTCCCTCTGAGAAGTCGGGGTTTAAAACCTCAAGCTAGCTCCAGAGCACAGAGTGGCAGTCCCCCTGCACAGAGTGGCAGAACAGGGAAAGTCACCTGCATAACACTTGGCTGAGATCACCAGAGCTGAGACTTGTCCAGCAAAGAGAGTGCAGGAAAAATAAAAAGCACTTCTCTGAAGGGCCAGAACACTTAATCAGCTTCAGCCACTCACCTTGGGCTCCAGAAGAGGGAGGGTGGATTGGACTGGACTGGAACTGTGAGAAAAGATTTGGGGTTTCATGGCTCAGGGGAGAGAGCTTGGAAGGAGGACACTGGGAGTTTTATGCTGAATCACTCCCTCATAGAACAGT